GCTGAACCGAATTCTTATTTGAAGAGCAAGGAATTAACAGGGCTCAAGCAGTGGCCATTGCTAGCCTGCTGTACTGATCTTTTCAGAGAAAGCATCTTGGTAAAATATGCGATGATAATAACAAAAGCCCCTTTGGGGACCCAGAAGAAAAGGGAAACTCGAAATTATGTCAAAAACTGAAATTTATGAATGTGAATGGGCAGAAAGATCACACACATCCAAAAAAAAAAAGCTTTAAAAGGTAAACATAAAAGAAATACCTGGCTAAATTTATCTCTTTGTCGGTAAAAAATAGCCTAAGCCTTATCCAAGCGTGTTGCCAATTCTTAAACTGAAGGAGAAGAGAGAAACACTCACTATAGAGTCGCACCATCAACCAGAACTTTCCGCGAGGATGAAATAGCCTATATTTCACATCATTTAATGTGCTGTCCATTCGGTAGCCAATAACCACACGTGGCTCTAGAGCACCTGAAACGTGACTAGTGAGACTGAACAACTGCATTTTTAATTTTATTTCATTTTAATTCATTTACATTTAAATGTAAATAGCCACACGTAGCTAGTGGCTACTCTATGGGACAGCTCAGCTACAGACACTCAAACCAAACAGCTGGCAACATCTTTCCTTTCCTACAAAAAACATTACAATTGTAATCAACCAATAATACCTTAAACTCTCACTAAAATTAGTACCACTATACAGGCTCCAGCCATCCCAAACTCAGAAAGCTTAAAAGAAAAAGATAAAAGACTGAAAGTGATTCCATTGCGTCATTTCTTGGAACTGTGTTCTGTCTATCCAGTTTACATTTCTATTACACTGTGGCTTCATGCGTTTGGAAATCTGTGCTTGTAGACAGAATCTGCATTTGCGAAATCAAAACGTCACAGTCTCTCCACTTAACGTCTAGGAAACATGAAAATGTGAACTTAGGGCAAGTTACTTAACCTCGTTAAGCTTCAGTTTCCTCAAAGCTAAAGCACAGATAATAACAGTACTTGCCTCTCATGAGGATTAAACTCAGAAAATACAGGTAAAGTGCCTAACAGTGCCTGGCAAAGAGTAAGCACTCGGCAAGTGGCAGCTATAATTATTATTTTGTTAATAACAATAGTAATATCTGTAATAAAATAAGAATGGTGCTACCTACTACAATGAAAGTTTACAGTCAGCAAAGTTTTCCTAGGACCAAACCCTGTGAACTTGTTTCCCAGACTATGGTAAAGTGGCCTCTGGTAAAATACACGTTAGGGCCTTCACATTTCAGCACTCACTGTCATCCTCCAGAGAGCCAATCCCCCAGATGGGTACCATGAGTCAGAATCATTCAGCCAACGTTGATTGAGCCCCTGCTCTGTAGCAGGCACTGTACTAGGCTGTTGGATGAGAACAGCCCCCAAACAGCACAATGTCTCAAGTCTCTACACCATCTGTCATTTGACCCCTGCAAAGCTTGGTCCCCACTGAGATACCTTGGAGAGATGTAAAAACCTCATCCTGGGGTCCCGAGCAGGCAAGAAGGCTCAATTCCTGTTTCCTGGACCAGCCAAGACCAGGTTCAGCTGCTGGCCCACAGAATGCACTAAGGTGTAAGGAGACCTGAGGGAGACAGGACAATAAGAGGGGTGTTGACAGGCCATGTTTCTCACTGACAGGCCAAATCACTTTAACAGGAAAGCTGTGCTCTGAGCCTTCAAAAAGCCAAATCCGATCTGCCTCCCAAAGCAGACACAACCGCTTTCAGCAGCCAGCTGCCCAGGCCGGTGAAATCCAACGGGAATCTCCACCAAGTTCACATCAGCCAGACCAACACCCCCAGAAACCCCCCAGAAGTTTCTAAGCGGAAGTTTAGTGGAATTCTGTGGGGCTTGGGGGTTATTTTTCTTTATACAGAAAGCATTCAATCAATCTTCTTTCACAACCAAGGGTACATTCCCCTATGGAATTCCCTTCTCTGAAATCTCTAAAAATGAAATATTCATCTGACCATCTGCAATAATTTTAAGTGTAAACCCATTTACTGGCAGAGTCAGGGATTTCTCACAGCTCCTGTACCTATGAAATGACATGTTCCAGACTAGACTGTCTCAGGAGGTTTCCATTTCTGGGTCCCTCTAGCCCCAGAAGAACACTGGTCAAACTATGCTCTTGACTTTGGGATAGGAAAATAGGGTTATAGTATCTGGAGTCTTACACTCGTATTTTCTGCTAGTGGGAGTGTAAAATGGTATAACCGTGTTGGAAAAAGGTCTGGCAGTTTCTTACTAGGTTCACATACATCTCTTCTATGACCCAGCAATTTCACTCCTAGGCATTTACCCACAAGAAATGAGAACATGTGTCCCTAGGAAGACTCGTACACAAATATTCATAGCAGCTTTATTCACAATACCCCCCAAAACTGGGAATAACTCATGTGTCCATCAGCAGGGGAATATAATATATAAACAAACTGTGGTATGGACATATCCTGGAATATAACTCAGCAATAAAAAAAGACCGAATAACTTGTACATGCAACATGGATGAATCTCAAAACCATGCTGAAGGAAAGAAGCTCTACACAATACTATAGAATTCTATTTTTATGAAGCTCAAGAACAGGCTAAACTAACTTCAAGCGAGAAACCATCAGAGCAGTGGTTGCCACTGAAAGGGTGAGGGCAGGGACTCACTGGAAAGAAGGATGAAGGAACTTTCTAGGATGATGGTAATAGTCTCCATCTTGATAGAGACTAGGGTTACACAAGGTGTAAGCATCTGTTAAAACATTATGCAAATGTTACTCTCAAGATGTGTGCATTTCACTATACGTATATAAATCTTACCTTAAGAACATCATAAACATATATTGAACTCTAAATAATAAAATCTGTGCTGAAATGTTTAGTAGTGACCTGTATCAACGTCTGTAATTTACTTTAAAATGCATAAAACAATAAGTTGTACTGATGGATGGAGGGATGAACAGATGGACAAATATATAACAAAGCCAATATTACAAAATCACAGACTCTAGATATGGGTATTTCAGTGGTCACTGTTCTTGAAAATTTTATATATTTTTCAAAATGAGATGGGTAGGGGAAAGAGCCCTCTCCTTAGGCTATCAAGTGAGAAATTTGGCAAGACACCCATGCCCACCAAGCCATGGGCCCACAGAGTGTCAATTCTGCTGAAAAGCGAAGACTGGAATAACACAAGTAGCTTTACAGGAACTCACATCACTCATGCCAAAGATTTTCTGCCTGTTTCCCTACAGACAAAGCAATTATTTGAATGGAAGCCAAAAATTCCTGCTCAAGAGGGAGAAAAAGAACTCAGTGACTTGTATCCCCAATTTGTTCTCTTTCAATTCCTGCACCAAATCTATTAACTCACTGCAACACACTCCACTTCCATTTGCCCCATGTCCATGCAGCCAAAAGACAAACAAAAAAAAAAACCAACCCAACCCAGCGACTTGTTACACAATGCAGCCAGAGGATGACGTACCAGCTCTGGGGCCAGAACCCCACTGAAGGCAAAAGAGGATGCAGGGCTGGGTCTGAGGTTAGAGTGATTTCACTGAGGTTAGCACACACATGCACCGGAGAGCCCCAAACAGCTTGTTGCTTAACCCCTTGGTGGGGTTTGGTGACATCTGGGGTCACTTGAACTTCATAGGGAATTCAGCTGTTCAGAGGTACAAATTAGGAGTCCCGGCTGCCAGGGACACGTGGGGTGCACAGCGCGCCCTACCACAGGCCCAGAGGTCGCTCACATTACCCCCGCCTTCCTTCCTGGCAGGGCCTCACTTATCCTGAGATGACACACCACGGCAGGGGCTGGAGGAGCCTAGCCTGACTGAGCGACCAGCATCTGAAAACAGCTGTACCAATTACGAGAAGGGGCTGTTGCTGAAAACCAGGGCAGCCAGTCAAACATAAGGATTTGTGCCAGACTTTTTTAAAAAATACTTTTTGTTTGTTTGTTTTTAAGCCCCCTCACAAACTCACTGACACCACCCAGCGTCCCTGGGGATCACCCACAACCTCACAAGTGCAGCCCAGCGCGAGCAACGGGGCGGCAGCAGGGAGCGCGCCTGGGTCTAGCACCTTGGCCTCCACGCGGTTCTCACTGGCAAAGACGGCGATACCCTAGGTGAAGGGCACGAGCCCTGGCGCGGGAGAGGGTGTGCATGCCTAACAACGCGGCTTCCTGAAATATACGCCACCACCACCCGCCCTGACCCACACCCACCCTGGCGTCCCTTGAGCCTAGGAAAGTGGATTAGGACGAGAGAGGAAACCCCCTTACAGAAGGGGAGAAGCCCATTTTCAGTGCTGGGGACTCCCTGCGCCCCGAGTCTCTGAGCCTCCAGTGACTGCGGCGCTTCCTCTGAACGCGCGACACGTCTGCTCCCACCCATCCAGCACCCCTGCCACGGGAACAAACCCACCTCCCAGGGCGCATGCAGAAGGGCAGCCGGAGCCGCCTCCACCCCACCCCACCCCACCCACCCCACCCCGCTCCGCCCCAGCCTCGCGCCCTCCCGAACCTGGAGTCCACGGCCAGCTCCCGCCTGGTCTTTGCCAAGGAACCCCTGCAGCAGTGTCCTAGCCCCACCTGTAGCCTTGAAGCTTCCCCTCTGCTTCCTTCCTAGGGGACCCCGAGCCTGCAGAGTCCGTGACCCCCAACAGACTGCTCTGGGGTGCCTCTCCCCGTGGCGCGCCAGGGATGAGTTTTTTTTCTTTTTTTTTTCAAAAAAGTTGGCCCAAGACCGCTGCGTCCCATGGATCGGGGCCCCGACCCCATCCGACCCGGGCTGGGGGTGCGCGGGGCGGGGAGGTGGCCCTCTGGCTACCCTGGCGCCTGGGAAGCACGCCCCAGCCCCAGCAACCTGCAGGGAGGCGCCACGCGGGGCTCCCCTTGCCCGCCGGGGTCCCGGTCCGCGGGGCCAAATAGAGGGGCCTGTGCGCGCCTACACCCCAAGTCCTGCCGCGCGCCCACCTACCGTTCGGGACCAGCTGAGGAGAAGGCGCGGGCGCGGGCTCCCTGAGACAGCGTGCTCCGTCCCGGGAGGAAAGTTTGTGCCATACAGAGCCGGCGGCGCGGGGAAGGCGTGGGCGCCAGGGGGTGGGGGCGGGGGGCGGCGGCGCGGCGTGCTCGGGTGTCCGTCCCTCCCGCGACCGGTGCGTCCGTCCCTCCGCGGAGCCCGCGGCCGCCGCGCTCCCGCTCGCTGCGCCCTGAGCCCGGCGCGCTCCGGCTCCAGCCCCGACGCGCCCCCGCCGCCGCCGCGCGTCCGCCGGCTACACTTCCTCTTCCTCTGAACTCATGTGCAAAATATGCTGCGCTGCATCTTCTGGGGAGCCGCGCGGCCCCTGACAGCCGCCGCTGGAGCAGCCGGCCCGCCCGCGCCCCTCCGCGCCCCGCGGCCCCTCTGCGCTCCGCACCGCCGCCTCCACGCGGCCCGCAACCGGCGCGCCGCACTCGCCGCCACGCCGCAAGCAACCCTTACTGCCCCTCCGCGCAGAGGTGTGAGGCTCACAGACCCATCCTCTCGATCCCTCCTAACCAAGGTTGTGTGCCTCAGGAGCGCGCATGGGGGACTGGGACCCTCCGTATTTGAGCGGGGTTGCTGGAGGGCGACTGCCACCAAGGTGCTCATGGCTAGAGGGTGCGAGGACTATTAGGAGAGGACCATTCCTCCTCCCATTCCACAGGTGGGCCCATCCCCGGACATATAAGTTGTTTCTTGGGAGTTAGTGCTTAGAAAGAGGGACAACGCCACTCTCCCCTTGCCACACTCTGTTCCACCTACTTCAGGTGTCCAGAAGGTTTGAGAACATCTGGGGAACCATCCTGGCCTGCAACTTTACACTGCCCAAGGAGACAATTACATATATAAAAAAAGTGCCAGGCCAGTGCTGCCTTAGTAAAGTGAACATGTGAAGCATCTCTTCTTCACGTTCTTCTTGGAAATTTTGAACAAGCAAAATTACAGTGTAGGGGTTAAGAGCAGGAGCCCTAGAGCCCAACAGTCTGGGATGGCCTGCTGGCCGAGTTACTTACTCCTGTGTGACTTGAGTAAGTGACTTAACTGCTCTGGGCCTGTTTCCTCATTTGTTAACTAGCACTTCCTCATGGGTTGTATATATAAAGTGTTTAGGGAGTGCTTTCTAACTTAGCTATTATCATTGACATTATTATCATTAATATTATTATAAGGGGACTGGAACAAGACAGCTAAAATAATCTAATTATCTACATTTTCCAGTTCTGCAGGGGGGGACTTAGGCGTTGAAGCCCACAGGGTTCAGCCCACAGGAGGGCTGATTTCGGCCAAAACAGTGTTTTAATGAGGTCCTTCTGGTACTAATAACGCCCCCCAGGGGGGAAGGAAGCACTATTTTGTTTTCAGGAATTCTTGTTACCACAGCTTCTCAGAGCTTTTCTTCCTTGTTTTCTTTATCCGTAGCCATCCGGATTCTGTGTTCCTTCCCCCTCCCCCACCACCCTTTCATTTCTGTTTTTGTTTTTTGTCCCTTTCACTTTCCACCCCACCACTTGCTGGCATCACTCACCACCACCACCTCCCGTTTCCCCCACTCTCTCCCCTGCTTGGCTTGCCATCTGGGAGAAGATGATAAGACCAGATGACTGCCCAAGTCTAGGTTCAGACAGTAGTGTGGGGACCAGTGCCCAGTGGCACCACTGATGGTTTTGAACACCCACTGATAAGGCTAAAAGGAGGGATCTTTATGTTATTTATCCACCTGAGGCCTGGAGTTATTGTAAGGCAGGGCCCATCTGGAATCTTTCTGATCCTTTCTGATCCTTACATTAGAGAAAGAAAATAACGTTTATAGGTGTTAGCCAGTAGTTCGAAAGCAAGTACGGAGTATTTAAAAGAAGATAAAGAGAAAAGGGGATAAAGGCAGCGTAATTTGGTTGTGGATGAGGGCGAAGGTTGATTTCTTTTAAACAAGTAATTTCTACTATATAAAATTTTTACAGGTAAATTTTTTTTAACACCAAGTCCTTGGGGTTAATAAGTTATTCTGATTGTTTCCATTTTCTTCCACTCAACATTTTCCCGAGTACTAACAGTGTGTAAATGTCTTAACTATCTTTTTTCCCTGCTTGGATCTTCATTTTTTAGGGTTTTCTAGAACTCTCGACCTTTCTTCCTAGATATTCTGATGCTTCCCACCTGGTACATAGTAGGTGTTCAATAAACATTTATGGAATGAATGGATGAGTCATTAGCATACAGATCTTTTAAGGCTCTGTGTAACCTACATTGAACAATTATCCGGAGTATTCTAATCCTCATTTGCCTGGAATATCTAATGAGGAGCCAATGTTGGGTTCATTTGTGTTGTGTAGAGGTCACCTCAATTTTCCACTTGGCTACCATGGACTGGCCAGCCAGGGGATAGATCCTGGGCAGCTGGGCCTCACCTCTGACTGACCTCCCCTACCCAGCGTCAACCCCAAAGATGCTGGAACTGTATCCTGGTGGGTTACCTTGGCAACCTCACAATGTCATCTGTTAGAATGTCCTAGGGCGGCAGCTTTTAATTCTATCACAGCGGTCTCATCGGGGGTCATGTAATAGTGCTGTTTTTCCTCTGCTCACACTTCCTCCCCCTATGATTTAACACTAAGTACTCTGGGAGGGAGTCGAACACGGGGAAAACCAAGCTATTACAGCACGACAGGTCACAGATGGCCCCAGAACTGGGATCCCAAGTGTTTGCAGTCAATAAAACGCAGGCCCCAAGTTAATGGGGAAGCTAGTCCTCCTCACACCTCCTCCCCGCCCCAAGGAAGGGAGAGAAGTTAAGCCAGCCTAGGCAAGCATAAGAAGCAGCCGTGGCCAGACTGTACAATTCTTGTAACAGCTCAGTTGAAGGAGCCCCCCACTGGAGCAATTCTCTCTCTTGGCCTCAGCAGCATCGCCCCACTCTGGAGATGGATTAGGCCGTGGGTACCAGCAGCCGGAGCAATTTTGCTGCATCCCAGCTCCACTGAGGCTTGGATGGAAGGAGAATCCCAGCTAACCCTCTGTTCTGCTCACCTTCTTTTCATCCCTAACCCCCACCCTGCATTTTCACCGCACTCAGCGCCCCCTCCAACTTAGTTCAAAATAACTCAGTCCCCCGTTATCCTGTAGAGAGCAAATAATAACTTATGCAGAAAATGGACCCATCAAAAGCTTTGGAACCCGAAGAGCTCTTGTCCTAATTGTTTATTTGCTGGACCATGAAACCCAGACCTGATACAGGGCAGCTGAACAGCAACATTTCAGGGCTAACGGGAGAGATAAGCAAACTCATGTATGCCCTGGAGGTACAAGAATTATTTATCTTTATCATCATGGTTAATATTTTAAGTGGGTTTGCAGCCACAGTGAGATCACAGTTTGGCCAGCTGCTCCATACTAAATGGCTTTGGCCCCATGTAGGGCGACACTTGTTTCTACAAGGAGGTGTGGTGGCAAAGGCTGAACTTCTGTGCCCCAGAGCCAGTCGTTTCGGAGGAGCCGCCTGCTCTTTGTTCATTGTGACAGGAACAGCCTCACAGACACACCACTGGCAAGACCGTGTTGCCCCTGGTCACACTGGAGCGGGGAACACTCGTGCCAGTGTCCAAACACGCCCTGTCAGACCCTCAGCGGTGTGGGAGTGTGAATGGGGTGGGGGCAGGGAGCCTGTTAGGATATTTTACATGGATGCAGTGATTGGCCAGGCCAGGGACTTTTGTCCAAAGTCTAGCCAAAGTAATACTTTGCAAATGCCACCCACAGGCATCACCAATTTGAGGAAATGTTGGATGATCGCCAAATGTTCCATTCATCCCATTACAAAAAAAAATATATTGTTATTCTGCTCCTGAATCCACTCCTCATTTACCTCTGAATTCCCAGTCTGTCAGACAGACAGTTCAGGGGAGCAGGGGCCCTCCTGTGGCTGAGAAAGAATTTGCTCTCTGGAGTAAAGAGTCACGAGTCTGAATTTCAGGAATATTGTGTGAAGCACACAGCTATTGGCAGCCTTGTTTCCCTCATGCAGCCTGAGGAACCCTCTGGCTTTACCAAAAGCCATTCACATCCACACTCCTTCACTGGTTATTCCATTCGTGGGACATATTGACTTGCATTTATGAACAAACTTTAATACCAGAGATAGAAAAATATATATATATGAATATGTAGGAACCCTATATATTCCATAGATGTCAAAAAAAGGAGATCGTGGAAATAAATCATTAAACAAATGGGGGGATAATATTTTGATACATTAACTGATGTGAATTCCCTTCCACCACCACTCCTTCCCCTTCCCCCACTGCATTTCTTATTACACTGTACTGACCCTCTTCTCATCAATTTAGACAGTTAGAGAAGATATAGTTTGTCACAAGGGAGAGTTATCATCACAATACCAGAAAAAAAAAATGTCAAATTCTTGGCTTTTGAGTTTCAAAAGTCAAGGTCCAAATATAAAATGAAAAAGATAGGTGAAAATATGAAATCAAGTGGAACCATTGTCCCCTATCATATCTCCTTTCCTTCCCCTACCCACCCACTATCCCATACACACATACCTTCCAAGAATAGATTAGAGGTGCCAGATTGCAGCAGGGAGAGCCAGAGATCAGGATAAAAGTCAATAGGGAGCAACTGGTAGGACTCAGGGACTGACCAGAGCCGGAATTCAGAAACCCACCTCCCTCCAGTCAAAAGAGACTCATCCATCCATAACACTTGAGAACCCTGTGGACAACTAGACAACAACTCTTGGACCTTGTCCAGGAGGATCACTATAGATCTTCAGTAGAGGAAGGAAAAATGCTGCTCATCCTTCCCGCTGACATTTGGCAATGACCTCCCATCAACAGCAGCCAGAGCACAACCTGGGGACCATTCAGAAAGACTAACTCCTGTTCCTTGAGTTTAACCGTCGTTTAACAGCCTAAGGTGCTGGTAAGCCCTTGACATGGAGAGTAGGGCCCTGGAACCCTGAGGGACAGTGAAAAGATCCAAGAGTATGAAAGATGCTCCCACTTATTTCCCACCAGGCCTGTACTTAGGTGAGCCTGAGTGGACCAACTCAGGATTTCCCATATAAGGCAGGACTGTGGTGATCATCAATGCTGTTCTCCAAATATTTCTGGTCCTCTCCTTCCAGTCCCTTAGTAGAATTGTTCTTCCTGGTTCCTTGTGGTTGGGAGAAGCTATTTGACTAGTTCTGGCCTATGAATTGTGAGC